GCAACCTTTGCTTTCACTTGAGAGGCAAATAGGTCTGTTTCCAGCTGGCCCCAAATGCCTCTAAACAAAGAAAACTTCAACGACAGCCCATTCTTCCTGGCACACTGCTTGAAAATTAGCCCATTTCTTCCTGGGGGCTTGACAGCTGAGGAAATCTGCTAACACATTCTAAGGGCCAAGGCCAAGATTAATGCTAGATTGGATTCTGCCAAAACCAAGATCTTCTCCGCAATTACCTGCAAGCGTGGACTCCTCTCCCTGCTTGTTGATATAAGCCACTGTCGGGCTGTTGTCAGAGATCTTGCAGATGAGGACCCTTCAATTGACATGAAATTCTACCATCACCTTTTCCACAGCCAAGAGCTCATCTTGGTTTGAGGAATACCTGGCCTTGGTTCTTGACCACTGGCCCTGGAACAAACTGTCTTGAATGTGCGTCCCCATCCCATGAGGAGGCATCTGTCTCTACAATCAGGGAAATCGTCCAGATGCAATCTAGACCCCTGGAAAGATTAGCTTCTGTTCTCCACCACCACAGAGACTGCTTGACCCTCCAAGGAAGGAAATCCCTGTGCTCTGGCATGTCCCTGGCCCCACCCCAGGCACCAAGTAGAAAGTGCTGTAGAGGCCTCTGGTGAAATTGGGTCCATGGAACTGCTGGGAAGCATATGGTCATGAGACCTACTACTGCAGAAATCTCCCTCAGGGAAACAGGGAGATTTGACTGCAACCGGGCAACCTAGCACCTGTTTTGTTTGCGGGGAGAAACACCTTTTGAACCACTGAATCTATTATGTATCCCAGAAGCTTCATCGACTGAGATGGAACCATGTTCGATTTCTCCCATCTGATCACCCAGCCCAGGGTTGGTAGGTGGTTCTGGGTAACCTCTAGATCCTTCTGCAACTGTTCGGAGGGAGCAGCCAACAGAACGTCTAAATAAGGAACAAAATGCCCTTTAGCTTCAATGCGGCCAGAGCTTGTCTCAGGACCTTGGAGAAGAATCCTCAGGGCAGAGGATAGCCCAAAAGAGAGCGCTCTGCACTGCAGGTGCTGAACATTCTCCAATTTGATGGCTGTTCTTAAGTATTTTGACCAGAGGCATGAATGGGTATATGAAAGGTATACATCCTTCAGATCCAGGGTCACCATAAATCATCCCTGACGCAGGATATACCTGAGCAAAAATATCGACAAAAATGTTTGATTCGGAATTTGTGCCCTCAAAGAATCAATAAACGGAATTTGCCAGAGAGTTTTTTCACCATTAAAATGTGACAAAAGCCTTGATCTCTTTCCTCTACCAGAACTGGGACCTATTGGGGGTAAGGATTCAAACTCCAGCCTTTAACAGACTTAATAGAAGGATGAACAGACTGGAAGAGAGGGATTCCCAGGCTGGGAGGAAAGCCCCCAATCTTCCTCCTTCTGGGAGGAAAGAGTCATTGGGTTTTGGGAAGGGTTAGGAGGATTAACCAGGATTGCTCCTTTACCCTTACCCTTGTGGCCTGACCAATGCTTCTTTGGCCTGGGCTCCTTACTTTGGTCAGCTTGTGGTCTTTGGCCACAAAAAAACCTCCTAAAACCCAGTGTCTTTCTTTACCGGGAAGGCCTTTTTCTTATCAGCTGTGCACTCTAAATCTTCCTGTATTTCAGGGCCAAACAGATTATCCCTGAAAAGGGCATGGTGCACAAAACGTCCCTTAGAGGCAGAATCCGCGGACTAGGTCTTCAGCCAAAGCAATCTTCTAGCAGAAATTACCAGGGCTGAAGATCTAGCAGCCATTCTTAGTTCTTCTGCAAAAGAATCAGCCAAAAACCCTACTGCTTTGAAAAGCATAGGAAATGCTTTTAAACGTCTCTCTAGGAGTACCAACTAAGCGAGCTAAGCAACTAACTTAAACTGGACCAACCAAAAATCCAAATTGCTGGCTGCACAGGTTGAAGCAAGGGCTGGCTACTATTCACAGTAGAATCCCAGGCCCTCTTAAGAAATAGCAAGCTGTGTGCCAAGGGGAAACTTGTGCTGGCATGCTCCTGAGCCAGGCTGTGGGCATCCAAAAAACACCATGTGGCTGGGCCATGCCTCCTATTCGTAGCAGTGGGAGCCAATGGCTCTCGCTCCTGCCTCTGTGTCCTGAGAGAAGAGGGGAGAGCAGAGCTGCTGCAGACAAGTACAGCGCTGGATCAAATAAAGCACTAGTTAATTGCTTAACTGGGGGGAGCAGATATTGGAAGGTTTTTTACCTTAATGCAAAGAATGCACTGAGGTAAACAACCTATAATTGTCACTCGAGGGAGATTTACTAAAGCTGGTTGACTCAGAACCTCGTGCACCTGTGCATGGTAGCCAATCCGCTTCTAACCTCAGCTTGTTCAATTAAGCTTTAGCAATAAAACCTGGAAGCTGATTGGTTTTCATGCAGAAGTGCACAAGACTCTGAGTGAACCAGCTCTAGTAAATAAACCCCTATATATCTGCAATACATACACATCTACCCATATTTTATCCCTTTAAAACATACCAAGTACAGAGAAAAAAAAATATGTTCCAAGAATAGTATGTGCTTTGACAATCTTAACTGACATGATATATGATGCCCCCACCATCTCCAAGTCCTCCTTGTGCATAGACAGAGCACAGGAAGTTGTCAATTGTCAACTAACAAGATTGCTAGCAAAAATCAACAGATATTTTTGGCACTTGACAGATAACAAAAAAATTTTCATTGGAATACTTGACAGACCAAAATACATTGTAAAGATTTACAAATGTCCCCATCCAAACAGGGTGGATGGAGGAATCCTCCCGGCCTAGACATTGGAGATTTACTTAAACTGGAGCGCTCAAAGTACAGCTGTGCAAAGTAGCCAATCAGCTTGTTCAATTAAGCTTTGACAATAAACCTGGAAATGGATCGATTTCTATGCAGAACTGCACCACATTTTGCACTCTCCAGTTTTAGTAAATCTCCCCCACTGTATTCAGACAGTTGCACCTGCAGAATACACCGGTCAGTGGCTGCTTCCCAACGTGTCCCTGTGAAAGACGAGCAACTTCTGTCAAGTGGGGACTGGTCGCACACGGATCAAAATTCAGCCAGTTCCTGCTGAAGTGGCTGAATTTCGATCAGCGTATGGCTAGCTTTAGGGTTAACTTTCACTTTAAGCAGGTATATTCAATACATTTCTGTTTTATAGGGTAGTCTTATGTTTTATTACAATCACAACCACTACCTTCCTGTGATACCTTAGAGAGATTGTGACACTGAACCAAAAAATAAGGCGCAAAGGTCACTGGGAGAAGATATTCTTACTTCCCCTTTCTCTAAGTAAATGTGTTTCTGTACCTATGTATCCCAGAACTTCCTGTCTTTTGACACCCTGACAAGATGTTGGGATAAATCGGACACAAACACTGGTTTTATTACTAATTTAACTACCCCAATTAAAGCTGACCGTACATGAAAATGCAAAGTTGATTTGTGTTGTAGATCCCCCCTATGTGGAAACAGTATCCCATACCCACACAACACCCAAATGTGTACTATAGTCTGTAATTGCCTATAAAATAAATTCCGCAAACATGAGAGATCCGGATTATTTTTATTTTAAGAAATTTAGATCCTTGAAGGTACAGCATCTGAGAAAAAAAAAAAAAAAAGAAGAGGTTGTTAGAATGTTTTGGAAGGCAGCCAATTTGGCACATTTTCACATAAGCAAGATACATTGTAAATCTGCAAGTTCCCTATGGCTTGCTGACACTTGCCAAAAACTTTCATAGCTTTTATTACATCCAAGGGACTGACCATGACTTAATATACCAGACATTATCACTCAAAAACTTAAATCAGAAATTGTTGCCTTGCTCTGTACGTTGGCCACATATATCAATTTGCATATTTTATTTTATTTTTTTTTACAGAGCAGCCCTGATCCTCTTCTTTTTGGGTCCCCTGCGCTGGTGCTCTTGGCCCCTCTCTCTTGCCGAGTGCCCCCATAGTAAGCAGCTTTCTATGAGGGCTCCCAAGCCACTGCTGTGTGCCCCGCCTCTGCTCTTTCCTCATTGGCTCACTGGTTGTGATTGATATTAGTGGGAGCCAATGGCTTCTGCTGCTGTCTCAGGCAATGAGGAGGAAGAGTCCCTGGAGAGCTTCTGCTCTCGTGCACATCACTGCATCTAGATGGGGCCCAGGAAAGTACTAGGGGAGCTGCTGCACACACAAGTTGTTTTACCTTCATGCATAGAATGCATTAAGTAAAAAAACCTTAAGCCTTTGCAAACACTTGAAAAATTATATAATCCCAACATTTAATATTCCAGATATGTGCCTGCTGTAGCATGCACTTGTATGAGAATGTATTGTGTTCTCTTTGTATTGCTTCCTTTGTGTGAATTCCCTGGTGTTCCTGCCAGTCCCCCTGCTTTCCTATTAAATGATTACACTTGGAAGGAGAGCACAACATGGTCAGTTTTCTAGCTGTGCTGGGAGCTAATCCAATGATCCGACGTGTCCTGACACAACACGCATCCCCACCCTCTCCATTCCTGCACAGCCATTTATTGATCACAAAAAAAAAAACAAAAACAAACACACAGAAAAAAGGTATTTATTTTTTCCTTTGATCTTTTCACAAATGTTTAAGCTTTCATTTGTTTTAAACGGAATGGGTTGTTTTTCAAGATGAGAGTTTACATATACTTTACAGCGATTGTAAACACTCACCTTGTAAAACAACCCAGTTTAAAATAAAAATAAAAGGCAAAACATTAGTGTATAGATATGAAATTAAACACCTCCCCCGCCCCACCTTTTATTAAATAAGTGATCACATTCTCTCTGTTCTCAGCGGCCTAAGAGCTAGGGGAGGAAAAGCACACGGAACCTCCCTGTGAATGAACAGCATAACAGATTTCAAGGGGCTATAAAGCTAGTATTATTCAGCACATGACATACATTGAAAAAAAAATTGCCATTTAAACTCCCAAGCTTGAAATTTCAGGAACTCACCACACGGATTCTTTGTCCAATGGCTTTGGCAGGCAAGTTGGAGCGGAACTTAGCACGGACCATGCCACTGTTGCCATGAGCTCTGGTCACCTTCCCCCAGATCACACGAGTTTTATTCGGTTTACCACCTGGGGTCACTGTGTTACTAAAAACAACAAACAAAAATTAGGTTACGTAGCAATAAAGAAAAGGAATTAGAAAAATTGGCTGTATAACTTCTTCTCACTTTTATAGCCATAGCAAAAGGCACACAAGCTCCAAGAGCTGGAAGTAGTACAGTGGCGATAGACAGCGGAAAGCAAGACTGCACTGGGGCAAGTGGTTGTTTTCTTATGATGGGGTGGGGGGGTGCCACTTGGGCACATACTGAAACAATGAAAAATAAGAGCCAGTTTATGTCTACAGAAATGTGAGGAGCAGGGTTGCACTATTGTAGACCTGAAAATGCTAGTTGCCTGGCTCCAATACTCTAAAACTTCAAGACAAGCATGCAGATCAAAAAGCTGGAGATAAGCCAGTTATTTGGAGAAAAATCCTTCTGTGTTTTTGGGTCACTGACCCACAGCTAGACAAGTAGCATTTTCAGAAGTAAGCAATGGCAGCCACAGCCACCAAGTCTTCTCTCTCTCATGTTTGATCCATGCAATTAGTTTTTAGCAAGTCTAATGAATTGCAGCCACAACTGTCCATCTTGTGAAACATTCCGCCAGTTTCAACTGCGACAGTGAGAATTGTACACATCCTTATTTCCCCAGCACTGCTATAGGCTTGTCATTTCAGGCAGTGCTGGTGATCAGGTCAACACTAATGTACACCCTTTAAAAGGCATAGTTTTTATATATATATAAAAAAAAAAAAAAAAAAACAGATTACACAACAATTTCAATAATTATCCCTTCCTTTCTCATTCAAGTTGCATGCACTCTACTACAACGCTTTCTAACCATTACAATGAACACAAAGCTTGGAGGTAGAGATCATGATGTAATCCACCCACCTCAGCCAGTCACAGGAAATACGGATGCATTAATACAGGTGTTTTTTTTTTTTTTTTTTTAAATCGGCAAATACAGATACTTTCGGTCAGATTTGCGTTAATGGATGCAAACTGCACCGCAAAGAATAGCAAGCGATTTCAACAGAAATGCGATTCCAAATCGCATGCAGTTTACCCCACTGCTCCTGTGTGAACCATGGATTGTCATCGCCTGAGTTCACACAGAAGCAGTGCAGGGAGGTTTCCCACAGCATAGAGTGGGCAAGTGGGGATGTGTACTATGGAGGCAGATGCTCCATATTCTCAGTGGTAGGAGAGGAGAGAAAGCAGCAAGGGATTTCAAATCCCCACCGCTTTCTCTCCTCTCCTTGCAGGGATGACAGTTCCGCCTAGATGACTTGGCCAGAAGCACTGTTGTCACAGCTCAAATTCACACAGGAGCTGTGCAGGAAACCAATGCCAAGTCCCAGTGGTAGGAGGAGAGAAAGTGGCAAATCCTCACCACTTTCTTTCCTCTCCTTGCAGGGATGAGTTTAGGCTAGAGGGCCGTTGATTGGTCAGCACTGTCGCATGGATGGTGCTGTCCAATCAGATGCAGTCTAGCCTGAACGGTCATTGCTTCAAGGAGAGAAAACTGCTTCACATTTCTAGGGATTTGAAATCCCCATGGCTTTCTCTTATTGCAGCGATGACAGTAGGGGCCAGAAGGCATCTGATTGATCAGCACCATCCATGAGAAGGTGCTGACCAATCAATCAACAGCCCTCTAACCAGAACGGTCATTTCTGGAAGGAGAGGAAAGAAAGTGGTGGGGATTTCAAATCCCTGCCACTTTCTCTCTTCTACCACTGATGCTCAGCATTGGATGCCTGCAGGGAGGTTTCCCACACCACTCCTGTGTTAACGTGGGCTATTACAAGCCCAGGTTCACACAGGAGCAGTGGGGAAACCGCATGCGATTTGGACAGGAAACACATTCCTGTTCAAATCACATGCTAATCTTTGCGGTGCAATTTGCATCCATTAACGCAAATTGCACGAGTACTCATGAAAATACTCGGTATCGGCACCGATATTGGCACTTCCTTAACAGGAAACCTTGTACTTTATTGAAATAAAAAATTACCAGGCTTCTCCTAAATGGTGGGGATGCAACACAACTCTATATCGGTAGGTGGAAGGGAACTCTGTAGTGCTGCTGCCAGAACACAGCACCATCTACTGTATGTAGTACAAACTACTAGAGTGTATTAGAGCACAAGCAGCGGCCAGTTTGTTCTGGAAAGCAATTTTAATTTGTTTAGTGCAAGCTGACTCAAACTATTTAAATAAAAAGTGAATTCCACATTCCCCAGAATTTTAAAGATCATACAAAGTTGACTCCATAAGGATATGCCTCATAAGATAAACACATCAGTAATTAGATTAGAATTGAACAGAGATCACATGCTTCTGTCTGAAAATGTCTACACAATGTGTCCAAGTATGAAGCAGATGTTCAGAGATTGGTAACAAATATCCTTAAAATCCAATTTGGGTATTTTAGACCAAGTGCTACATTATATAACTCTAGCGGGCTGTGTCTGGCTTTAACACCCAATTCCTTATCTGTGTATTTGTTCCAACTCAGTGAAGCCAAAGCAACAATATGACAGCAAGGAATGTCATCTCCTTTATTTCTATCAGGAAAGACTCACTTAAAATACAGGGGGTAATGACCTTTCTGCAGCTTTATTTAGAAATGCTAACCAGAAATCCTTAATGTAAAACATTAGGTAGATAAGTAGCAGATAAAATCAGGTTGATTAGTGCTATCCTAACATCACCATCTCACCTAAAGTCATTAAATTACTTAAACCAGGAATACAATTAATAGAAAAACCAAAAGCAACTTTAACTAGTAGCCGACCGCGGATAGCCGAATGACGGCTGCACTGCGGCCGGCCAGTTCTGAGTGGACGTCATATGACGTCCCCCCAGAACACGCTCTCCTGCGTGCCCCAGGGGGCGCGCACCCGGCGATCTCCGTGATCGCTGTGTCCTACGGACACAGCTGATCACGTGATGTGGTAAAAGGCCAATCACAGCGGCCTTTTACCACCTGATCAGCGGTGTGCAATGACACGCTGATCAGAGGGAAATGCAAGTGCCGGTTCTCGGCTGCACTTTCCTCACGCTGTCAGATCGTGAGGAAAGTACTGCCGAGAACCGGCAGTTGTCAGAGCGGGGATCGGCACCGATCATCAGGGCACTGATGATCAGTGCCCTGATGATCGGTGCCCAGCAGTGCCACCCGCAAGTTCCACCCACCTGTGCCCTGCAGTGCGCCCACTAGCTCCGCCCACCTGTGCTCAGCAGTGCACCCACCTGTGCCCAGCAGTGCACCCACCTGTGCCACTCTGCAATTTCACACACCTGTGCCCACCCACCTGTGCCCTGAAGTGCACCCACCTGTGCCCACCCACCCACCTGTGCCCCCAGTGCCACCCACCTGTGCCCACCAGTGCCCACCCTGTGCCCACCAGTGCCACCCACCAGTGCCACCCACCTGTGCCCACCAGTGCCACCCACCTGTGCCCACCCACCAGTGCCCAGCAGGTTGCTGCCAGTCAGTGCCAGAGGTTGTGCCAGTCAGTGCCGCCAGTCAGTGCCCAGCAGTGATGCCAGTCAGTGCCGTCTATCAGTACCCATCATCAGTGTCACCTATCAGTGCTGCATATTAGTGCTGCATATTAGTGCCGCCTATCTGTGCCACCTCATTAGTACTGCCTATCAGTGCCCTTTAGTGCTGCCTATCAGTGCCCTATCAGTGCCCATCAGTGCCCTCATCAACGCACATCAGCGAAGGAGAAAAATTACCTGTTTGAAAAATTTTATAATAGAAACAAAGAAACTTTTTTTTTTTTTCAAATTTTTGGCAATTTTTTATTTATAGCGCAAAAAGTAAAGCGCCCAGTGGCGATTAAATACCACCAAAAGAAAGCTCTATTTGTGAGAAAAAAATGATCAAAATTTCATATGGGTACAATGTTGCATGACCGCGCAATTGTCAAAGTGCGGCAGCGCTGAAAGCTGAAAATTGGCCTGGTAAATAAGGGGGTATAAGTGCCTGGTAGGCAAGTGGTTAAACACTTTAAGACATTACATGCCAATGTGGAATGCCAAACAAAGCAAACAAAAAACCCCAGAAACTTCAACAGCAATTTTCACATTTGTTTGTGAGAATATCAGTTAATTGAAACAATGTAAAGCTAAAGTCTTCTTATCCTTTGACAGCCACAGACAGCGACACTTCTATTTGGATTTAGAGGTACCATGGTGTGATACGTGATCAGCCCTGACCCTAGCCACTGCAGGGCTTGAAGGTTTCATTGAGTGTTAACATAGGTCCACTAAAAGATAAGATATCAGACATGCCTTAAGACTCCATTCACACTTGCTGAAATGCAAAGTTGCACAAACTTTCGACTTTACACTCTCTGGACCAAAGTCATCAAAAGTTGCATCAAAGTAGTGAAAGCACCTTTTCAAAGTCACACACTGATTTGAACAGGTGCCATTGAAAAGAATGGGCTGCGAGCTGTCATGCTACTTTGTGCGTGACAATTGCACAAGTGTGGCTGGAGCGTTAATGTTGCTTACACTGCATATGGGCTAGCAGGTAGAATGTAAATAAAAACACTGCAGAAAACACCAACCACTGTAAGCACCCATCCGTGTTAACTGCCACTTTTGCTGGTCAGCTTGGTCTGTTAAAGTTAAAAAATGACAGACTTACTGGATGGATCATCAGATGACAAAGAAGAAAAAAAAAAATTTAACCTGATGTGTTGTATAACTAGCACTGTGTCCTAGAAACACACGTATGTGCATTAACTGAAATGCAAAGTATACTAAAAAAAACAAAAAACAAGAATGTGCAGAACCCCCTTCTCTCCCCCCAAAACTTAACTTTGGAATTACATGGGAGTTAACAAGCCTCCTATGAGTATACAGAGTGACAGGTTCTCTTTATGGAGACCTCGGGCTCCATTAAACCCCGATGCACCACTGCATTCAGCCCAAACAGGTCAGAACACAGACTTTGGATAGATTTGACAGCAGAATCAGAAATAGCAGAAACATTTTCCCTTCTCTCCATCCTAAAACTGGGGCTGGAATTTCAAGGGCCCCTTAGAAACATGAAGGTGCAGAGGTGCCACCTGTCTGCCTTCACAGTTGCCCAAATCACTTTGAATAAAAAGCTGGACCCCTGATAACCGCTTCTCGTCCACCCTATAGCAGCAATACTGCTACAGGGCAGCACGGGTGCACAAAGTCACGTGCATATATATATGGATTTTTCACTTCCAGGCAGGGGGCGCGAGTGTGCGCCCTGCCCGAGGCGCTATTCGCGGCATCAGTTGTCAATCACTGGGTCCCGGCCAATGATTAATTGCTGGCACCCGGTGATCGAGGAGGATTACCGACGGAGGGTGAGAACTGTAAGTAAACAATACAGTTCTCTCCCGTCAGCTCCTGTACACTACTATGCATGACTATGCATAGCAGTGTGCTTACAGTAAAGCGCACACACAGTAAAACAGCACACACTTAACCCTTTGATCGCCCCATGTTAACCCCTTCTTGCCCAGTGCCATTAGTACAGTGTCAGTACTTTTTATTAGCACTGATCACTGTATTGGTGTCACTGGGATGTCAGAGACACAGAGTTCCCCCCGTGTCAGAATGCCCGCCGCAGTCCCACTGTAAGTCACTGATCGCCACCATAACTAGTAAATATTTGAAAGAAAGAAAAAAAAATCCCAGTATATACACACCATCATATGTAAGCGCTATAAAACTTTCACGTAAATCAATTAATTTACACATATTAGGATTTCTTTTTTCATTTAGCAAAGACATGTAGCAGAATACATTTTGGCCTAAATTTATGAGAAAATCTGATTTACATTTTTTTACTGGACATGTTTAACAGCAAAAAAAATATTGTTTTTCCTCAAAATTGTCGGTCGGTTTTTTTTTATCGAGCAAAAAATAAAATACGCACAGGTGATTAAATAGCACCGAAATAAAGCTCTATTACTGGGGGGGTGGGTGGGGGGAAGGCCGTAAATTTTATTTGGGTGCAGCGTTGCATGACCACGCAATTGTCAGGTAAAGTAACACAGCGTTGTAATGCAAAAATGGCCTGGTCAGGAAGGGGGGGGGGGGGGGGTAAATCCTCTGGAGGGCAAGTGCTTAAAATAAATGTAAACAAACTTTCAGCTTAGAGAGTGTTTACAGCCTGTTACTGACATGCTGACGTACTTGCATCTTCTGCAGTGAACGGGTTATAGCCAGAGACATTTAATATTGCGGCAATAGAATTGGTGTGCACTAAAAACAAACTGCAGCAAATCTCAAACACTCCAATTCTATTTGGTAGGCTGCAACTCTGTACAGCACTGAAACCACATTCATCCTTCTGAATGACAAAGATTACCACTGTGTAAAGCTAGCCATACACACAGCCAGGGGTGGACTAACCATTTGGAAACTCGGGAACTGCCCAAGGGCCCAGGGTCAGTAGGGGCCCCCATGAGATGCCCTTGGTACCTTTTTCATAGGCTTTTTTGAGTTTGGGCAAGGACACAGGGGCCCCATGATCCCCTATTGCCCAGGGGCTCCATGAGTTGTCAGTCCGCCCCTGCACACAGCTATATTTCCCTTGCTGAGCCCATGGGTTGAATGAGAGAAAATCAACTGATACCTCCATCCATGCTAAACAGTGTGGGTGGAGAGAACTCCATTGCTGGCTATTGTATTTAGCTGATGCAGCACCTGTAACTGACTGAATACTTTAACATTTGATTGGCTGTAGTCACTGTTTGGCCCACAATTTACCACCCAGCTCCTATGCATTTTCAAATTGTGTCGAGCCAGATAGTGCTGACAGGGCCACCTACAGCTCCAATTTCAACCAATTTCGCAGGAATCGTCTGAATTTTTTTTTTTTTTAAATAATCATTACAAATTGGCATTCTTTGTTCTTGAATATGCCAAATATCAGAAATCAAAACCAAGGTGGAGGATAGCCATGCGCACATTTGTGATTTAGTAGAAAAGACAAGTTGGCGGTGTTCTACAAACCCTTTTCAAATCCAATTAGGGCTGCTGCTGCAGAAACAGTATAGCAGTCACCCAATATTACACTAGAATTGTGTCCTCCTGCAGGTGGAATACTCACTTTTTTGCTTTGTACACATAGGCGCATCTCTTGCCCAGGTAGAAGTCTGTTTCATCTCGGGCGTAGACCCCTTCGATTTTCAGCAGAGCCGTGTGTTCCCGCTGATTTCGGAGGCCTCTCTTGTAGCCAGCAAAGGTTGCTTTACACCACAGTCTAGAATGGAAATGACATCAGTACAAATATGGTTGTACACATACAACCCCCCAAAATCGTAAATGTCCTGCTGTACAAACCTGCCAGACATTCTGTACTGTTAATGTCCAGATGCAGACAGAACTGGAAAAAAAAAAAAAACAAAGTCAGGGTCTACACATCACTAGCACATGGTTCAAATCACATACTGGATACGATGACATTACAAATTCAGGGTCAGTTCACACTACAGAAACGCACTTCAGATGCATTTTTGCTTATAGTTTACACTGCATTCCGGTCCATTTTGCGGTGTTCCAATAAAGCTCTGTGCAGAAAATAGCAGCAAGTTATACTTTTTTTTTTTTCCTGCACGATAACTAACTGCACTAGGGCCATTGGAACACATGGAAAACAATGTGCATGCATTTTTTATCAGAAAAAAAAAAAAAAGCACTGGACTGCCTCTGGTGTGAACCAAAATAAAATAAAAGCATGCGGTGTTTTCTCCATGTGTTCCAATGGCGCTAGTTCACACCAGGGCAGCTAGTTCCAGAGATTTCTAGTGCAAAAAAAAAAAAAAAAAAAGAACATCCTGCTTCTTTTCTGCACAGATCCATACTGAAAAATGTACCAAGATGGAGCATGGTGTGAACTCTAAGCGAAAATGCCCCCGGAGTGCGTTTTTGTGGTGTGAACTGGCCCTGAGGCTCGGTTCACACTCCACAACTTAGGAGACCCCAAGTAGCATGACATGTAAAATCCATGTTAGTCAATGAAAGCCATCTTAATTAGTACTTCTAACATTGCCCCAACTTTAAAAAAGGTTCCTACTTCAAAGCGACTTCTATCCGACTTGCGTCCATAGACTTTAATAAGTTGCCTCCAAGTCGGATGCTCACCTATAGTGATGTGATTTGGATCCCACCTTATAGGAAGATTACCCAGGAAGTCGCATCAAAGCAAGACTCAAGTCACCAAGAAATGGCCTGGCCAGGGCGCAGTAGTGTGAACAGAGACTTAATGATGTGTGTCAGTCACACTGCTACCTGGCTTGTAAGGCATGTTCACACTAGTGGTTGGGGGACAAACACCCCCTTTAGCTGCAGATCCTGCAGGGTGAACACACTGCAGCCACAATACTTTGCTTTACGACAGGATATGTACTCCCTGTTGCTTTCAAGTGCAATGAACGTGGTTACAGCATGCTAGTGCAGCGATCAAGGAGTGGTTCTACAACACCATCTGTCAAATGTTCCCTGAAGAGTGACCTGAATGCAGTTGCCAAAAGCTTGTACTGTTGATACACTGATGAGGGGCACACTGTACACCTTAGCTGCTGTTGTGCTATATGCTGGGTATCCAGTGTCCCCCTGTGCCTGTAAGCAGTGGGTTCCCTCCAGGCTCACATACACAGGTACCCTATGGGACATACAACGACACCGTTACATACAAAGGGGCTGAAGGGACCAAGCCTTTGCTTTGGGGACAATAAGCATGCAGCCAGAATTGCCATTTAATAACAAGTTAAAAAAAACTTTATTTAACACAATACAAAGCAGACAGAAGCGGTCTTGTAAGAGCACTGAGCAGGGTGTAACAGAGAATGATATCAGGAGACACATGGCTCCAGCTCACAGCCCAGCCTAGGCCGCACACCGTCCAATCAGCTCACACACCGCGAATAAGCCGGCGCCAACACCTCAGGAAGACACGTCCGCCGGCCCTGGAACCATACAATCCACCCAGTATCTCCGCCATCCCGCCACATCTAACCCACACATACTCCTTTATCGGTGACCCGAAGGAGGTGCCCCGTCCCCCCGCCGGTATTAAATGAACACCCTAACGATTAACCATTGAAACCCGCCATAGAAACAGACATAGTCTCCTCTCACCCGCACTGGATTCCAAGATGGAGGAAAAGGAAGGGCCAGAGCGCGGCACGCTGGGAAATTAGAAGCGCCCTCTACGTGAGGTGGCCAAAGTGATGCCTTTGCGAACTGTACACAGTGAAGGAAAAATAACTGGGCAGGAATGTTGCCGCAGGTTCACGCGTGGAAAAATAGTGCCGGGAATGTGAAAAAAAAAAGGAGAAAATTCGTTATTACAAAACAGCCGTTTAGGTGTCTGAACTACTCCGAGGACCCCTGGGGCGGAGCCTTGTATCCATGGATACCGTTTGGCGTTGTGTGCTGTGAGGAGTTCTAGTCAGGTAGTTGTAGCGTGCAGGTGAGTGAGCTCTGTGTGGGTCGAAGAGACCGGGGCGGGGGGCCATTGTCCACTATGGGGCCATGGAGGGGCAAGAGACGCCTCTGTGCCACTTACAGTAATAGGATTAAAGTAGAACTGGGCACAAAACTTTTTTTCATTTTGGATAAAGAGAGTCACCGCTTACACTGCTGCAATTTGCATGCGATTGCAGCGCGATTTTTGAAGACTTTATTGTGACGTGTGAAGATTTTCAACAATTTCTTGTATTTTGCAGTGTGATTTCCATTATATTCTATGTATGTGAAATCACAACACAACTGCATGAAAAGTATTGCAAGAACCGCTTTAGAAATTGCGCTGCAGCAAATTGCAAATGTTAAGACACTGACATTCATTAGATGCGATTTCAATTCACAAATCGCACCTGAACTCACACTGGTGTGACCGGGCACTAATGCCTAGGGTTTATTTATTTCAGGTACTTATATAGCGCTGTCAATTTACGCAGCACTTTACATATATATATATTGAACATTCACATCAGTCCCTAACCCTAAAGGGGTGTACAATCTAAGGTACCTAACTCACATTCATACATACACATATTAGGGACAATTTAGACAGGATCCAATTAACCTTCCAGCATGTCTTTGGAGTGTGGGAGGAAACTAGAGCACCCGGAGGAAACCCACGCAAGCACAGGGAGAACATGCAAACTCCATGCAGAAGGTGCCATGGGAATTGAACCCATGACCCATTTACTGCAAGGCAGACATGCTAACCACTAAGCCACTGTGCCGCCCAGTGTCAGGGTTGCAGCATCATCTTCTTAAAACTGAGCACATGTTATTTACACAGGTTCTGTGCCTACCTACTTGCCTACTGGGCACTTTTACTCCCTTCCTGTCCAGGACAATTTTCAGCTATGAACACTCTCACACTTTGAATGACAATTGCGTGGTCATGCAACACTGTACCCAAATTAAATTTTTATAATTTTTTTCACACAAATAGAGATTTCTTTTGGTGGTATTTAATCACCACTGGGTGTTTCATTTTTTGCACTATAAACAAAAAAAAGCAAAAAAATTCGAAAAAAAAGTTTTTCTTTGTTTCTACTATAACATTTTGCAAGCAGGTAATTTTTCTCCTTCACTGATGTGTGTTGATGAGGCTGCACTGATGGGCACCGATAGGCTGCACTGATGAGGTGACACTGCTTGGCAGCACTGGTGAGAGGCACTGCTGGCAGCACTGCAGGGCACTGATCATCAGGGCACTGATCATCAGTGCCGATCTGCTCTGTGACAGCTGCCGGTTATCGGCAGTACTTTCCTCATGTTGTGACAGCATGAGGAAAGTGCTGCTGATAATTGGCAACTGTATTTACTCCATGATCTGCAGTGTCATTGGGCACTGCTGATCACATGGTAAAAGGCCTCCGTGATTGGCCTTTTACCTCATCAGCTGTGTCCATAGGACATAGTGATCACGGAGATCGCCAGGTGCACACTGCTGGTGGTGGGCAGGAGGGCGCGTTCTGGTAGGACGTCTTATGATGCCCTCCTAGAACTGGATAACTAGTATCACATGGTAAAAGGCCGCCATGATTGGCCTTTTACCTCATTACGTGATCAGCTGTGTCCATAGGACACAGTGATCACGGAGATCTCCAGGTGCACACCACTGGTGGTGCGCGGGAGGGCGCGTTCTGGTAGGACGTCTTATGACGCCCTCCTAGAACTGGATAACTGCACTGTAGCCATGATTTGGCTATAGCGCGGTTAGCAAGTGGTTAAGGTGGTAATTAAACTCACTTTAATAATAAATAAAACAGTGTAGCGCTAGCACAAAAAACTAAACAGTGATAACCACAATCAATAGAAAATAAACATGGAATAAAAAGAAAATAAATGACTACAAGTGCACTACAATCAATCCCCCTAAAACCACACTTGAGGGATCCAATATAAATAAATGAATAAGTGCAACACGTGAATACCTTCACTTTTGAAACATAAGCAGTGCAAATGGCGTTAAGTGTCATCAACGCACACAAAATAGGTGAATGTCACTAATGAGTGTATAAACTGCAAAACAAATAATGAATTAAAGTCCAAAAAACAACACATATGATGATGCTCCAACTTCACTCTCATGCAAATGGTGATGTGTGAGTGATCAGTAGGTGATTATCCTCCAGTGGCCAAATTGCCTCCTTTTCTATTGATTGTGGTTATCATATGTAGTTTCTTGTGCTAGCGCTACACTGTTTTATTTATTGTTTATACACTTATTGGGTATAAGGTTAGTGTCAGCAGCTTTAAGGTTAGGACTCCATTTAAGCACAGGAGGATCCTCTTTATTCAATTAAACTCACTTAGTGTCTTATCTACATTAAGGTGTCCTTTTATCATGTAGCTGTAAATGACCACTGGTCAGTTCTCCTGCATTCTCAGAGTTGACAGTTCTCCTCTGAATGCCTTTTTATGAAGCGGTGTAAATCACTTCTCCGAATGAAGGGAGAAGCGATCTACAAATGCTTTCAATGCTGGAAAATGGCTGCTTTTATTATAATCTCTCAAGATTACAGTAAGAGATCAGTCAAACACCGTTTTACTAAGCAGCGGTAAATTATCGCTGCTTCGTTTGTGGTTCCTCCGATTCTCCAGCTCTGGGCTGGAGAATCTGGAAGGAGACCACAGATCACTAGTGAAGGGCTGACATCGCTCCTTCATATACTGGCCATCTGTGTGCTGAGATGATCAGCGGAGAACATGTTCTCCGCTGATCATCTCTGTTTCCTAAACCA